TCTGGGGAGCAGGATTTTTTTCTCTAAGACACATAGCCCAACCAAAGTTTTGCATGATTTAAACCTTTAAACAACAAAGTATTTGAATAGTAACTGACAGGAAACCATAAAAAGACGGAGTCCTTCATTAGAATTAAAGGATTCTTTATCTGGATACAACATGCAAAGCATGTTCCACAATAACAGCATATGCTAAAAGTCAGACCTTGACAACTTTCACTCATCTTTTATGCTTCATTTCTGGGAAACTGTTGTGAAAAAACAACACCGTCTCCCTTCGTCTGTGTGGGTGAAACTGAACTTTACAACCGATTGACTTTTTGCATTGTCCACTACACGCAATTACGCCTGCTTCTAATCTTTTCTAAATCGACCGCCATGCTCTTGGCTGACCCGGGCTGAAAAACAGGGGGCAGCGGGCTTCCAGGCCCACAAAAGTGGGGAGAGAGGAAAAAAAAATTATACAGGATCATCAAAAAAGGAGAGACGGGCTTTCAGGGTTTGAAAGGCACAGGAAGCTGGAGGATTTGGTTCGACCCCTGCAATGGTGACAGAGCTGATATCTTAGAGACCCCCATTCATCTGGAGGCAGGGATGGTGACCGGGAGAGGGAGGGGTGCTGGGCCTCGGGGTGCATCTGCAGAGGTCCCACCGCCCTCTGATCTGTGAGCTGGCACACATCACGGCGTCCATTCACAAATCCTCCTTCTGCGCGTCACCTTTTGTAGTACTCCATAGTACTGGGAGCTGGTGACGTACGAGACAGTCCTAGCACGAAAAAATACAGAAGGGGGTAAAAAAAAATAGGTTATTAGGACTCAAGGACAGAGCACATGCGCAATGCGTGCCATTGATTTATAGTGGTAGGAGGAGTGTGTGTATGTATATGTATACGTATGCGCGTGCATGTGTGTGTGAGGATGAGGGAGGGGGGGGTATAAGTGAATGTGAAATAGATCCAGTTGCTGGGTTGGTACAGAAACACAACGTTCAAAATGTGATTTTAAAAGCGTTTTCTTTACCCTTTCCTGTAAAGGAGAACCACAAGAGCTAAATAATTATAGAAAATAAAAAACACGAGATAAGATGGTCTGAAAATAATACAATTTTCTTTAGTTGTGGATGACATGGCATGGGCAATAAGCAATGCTGCTCGCAGAAAGAAATACACAATTTAACCATATTATATCCAGAAAATGGCCACACACAGTTCATCATCAGATGGTTAAACAGTGAACTATATCAGTACTGGTTCAATTAAAAAAAGATCACAAACATCACATCTTTTATCGGTGCTTTTGTGTGGGGTTTGCTATTTGGAGGTGGCTTCTCCGGTGAATAACTGCTCGGATATAATGAGTGCATTTTTGTTCCACATGTGAAACGACTGCAGACGAGGCCTAGATTCACAAACTGGATTTGCAGCAACAGCTGCAAGGCTGAGCCCTGGTCCACGTTCTCTCTAAACGTGAAGAGGCAACAGAAAAACAAAGCTCCCCAAAAGTCATCCTAAACAAAACAGGGGGGGAAAGACACCTCTTGCCTGAGGTGTTTCTTTAAATTAAGTTTTACACATTCAGTTTGACCATCATCCAATGAAAAAAAGGGGCAAATAAAAATGGTATTCTTGTTCATTCCGTTGCCCAGTTTACCGCGCCTGGACAAGCAGAGACAGCGAGACAAAGGGATGAGCTCCAGCCAGAAGAGCTTCCACCTAAAATGGCTTTGTCCTCTTCAAATCAATAAGAAACAGCAAATATAAAGCATTTAAGGTAGCTTACCTAAAACAGTAATATCAACAAAAACTAGCTATACCAGTTTCTAACAATTCATCCCACGGTAATTCATGCCATCCTGGTCATATTTGAGCAAAAATAACAACAGTATTGTAATTTTCCAATCACTTGAATACAACAGCTATTATTTAACCCATATGCAGCCGTCACAAAGCATTAAAGACAATATTTTCTATCACAACCATAAAATTTAGCCTAGGGTCTCGCTGGTGTGCCAAAGAGGTTTTTTGTTTTTGTTTTTAGCAAAAGAGGCAACAATAAGAATGATAACGAAAATGATTCAGATAAAAACGGTATTAGTATTCAACTCAGTGAATTTTCCTTTTCATTGGATTGTAGACTAAAATAAATCAAACTAGGATAGGATGACAAAAGTAACGATTGTTTTCTGCTGGAAAAAAAATATACATATATATATATATATCTACAGAAAACTTGTTTTTGATGAGGAGCTGCCTCAGACTGGCACCTTTTACAGTTTTACTTTATTTTCTCCTAAAATTAATTCCCCCCAAAATACATAATCACTCTTTAAAGCCGACTTATAGTTAAGTTGTTGCTAGAAAAATGTGTTTCTATCATAATATACCCAAATCAATGTTAGGTATTATTTTAAAAATAGTTTAAATGAAATTGAAGGGTTGGATTGCAGACGTCTTGATGCGTTGAAATGTGCAGTTTTTGCAGTGCACAAAGGCTCCTATTATAATTCAGAGTCTGAAATGGTGTCATTTCCTCCAGACATCCCTGTTTTGCTGAGAGGTTAGAGGCCAAGCCCAGGCGGTAGCGGCCTGTCTGTGAATCCATTGTCTGCTGCTTATTTAGCGCTCAACATTAATCTGCGCTTCCCCTCACAAGTGAGAAACAATCGCAGCATGAGAGTGGCCTGTCTAATTACATCTTTCACTCCCAACTTTCACTGTTCGGACCGGACCCTTTGTGGTGGGCACATGTGCAACAAGAGCAGGTATGTTTGCTGTAAAATGTTTTGTTCGTGTGGAGAAAAAGTTGAGTCATAGCTTTAAAGAAAATACAAATAAATGGGCCATTCAACGATTCAATAAAACGCCATCACGAGTGAGTCTGCAAATAAAACCACATTCACTTCCTATGATATTCAGGCAGTGAGACATAAGCAAATATTTTCAGTATAATATTCATTAGATTTTTTTATGTGAGACGAAATTTGGCTCAGAGCTGAAAATACATATTCTGATGTGCCCAAAATAAAAAAAAATAAAACAAAAAACAAACTGTTGGGCTAAGCCTCTTACATATTTTTCTTTTTGTCCCAAAACAATGTCTTCAATCGAAACTAATATATTGATATCATGAAGCCTTACGGGCTTCTAGTGCAAAAATAACCACAACAGGTTATGCACGTGAGTTCATTTGACAAATGTAGATGCTCCTCTCAGGGAGAACTCCAGAAAAAGACACTGCGCGTCTACAACAGCACCAAAAGTAAAGTTCAACCGTTCAAAAGCTTCTCACTCAGTCGCAGTCTTGTTGCTCCCCTTGTCCGTCTCGGTCCTGTCTCCTTTACGCGCAGCTCCGGCTCAGACTCCTGCAGGAAGCCGGCTGAGTCCTCCTCGCTGTCCGGTGGCGTCCTGGGAGGCGAAAGGCAAACTTAGTGCTGGTCAGCAAAGTTGCTCAAAGTTTTGTCTTTGGCGCGACTCTGGATCCCGAGCAGAGCGCACAAAACAGTTTGTTTGCATCACTGATTTCTTTTAAAGGGATATGGACCCAGTGTTGGGACAACCGCGGCGTCGCGAGAGGCTAAGCCCAGAAAATGAAAATGCCCCACACGCATCGATGCGCCTTTCAAATCACTCAAGGATTCTAGTTTGGGTGTCACGTTTTCAGTTTTGATTAATTTTGTTGCTAAAAATCTGGTGGTTACACAACAGGGTTAAAATCGGTGCTGTACGTCTAGCAAACACGCATATGCTGTTGCTATGGGATAAAATGGGTGTATGGTCGAGGTGTAAATTGCATTCTATTCAAACAAGATTGCTTTTACTCCGGTTTATTCCAAAACACATGCAGTGGTGCGGTTTTTACGCAGGAACCTTGGCCAGGACGCACTGTTTTTCAGTTCCTCTGTCCCTTGATCTGGAAGTGGTGATAAGGTTTAAATGCAGAAAAATGTCCCAATAGGACACAATTTACCAACAGGGTTTTACATTGTATATTGAGGTATGTTAAGATTTTTACATTATGGATACCCAAACAGGCTAGTTAAGCGATTTTTGTTTAAAACCCAAAGGTAATGTGCATTCACGTCTCTAGATTTTTCATAACTAATTAGTCTCCAAGTGTGGCCATTTGTCACGCAGTCAAAACATACATTTATTATCAGTGATGTGCATTAGAGTATAGTGGAAATGTGCTTTCCCCGTCGTGTTAGTTGGAATGCCTGCCCAAAAAGCGAGGAACCTCGGGGGTCCTCGCAGCTCACTTTGACAACCACTGCTCCAGCCTATTCTTTTGTTTTACGCACACAGCCATGCACATCGTGCTTCAATTTCCAAACCAAAACTCCCAAGAAATCATGTAAAACATGTCACAGCTGCTTAAATGCAGGTAAAGTATAGGGAGTATGGGAACATGCACTGGATTTAAATTAGGGCTTCTTCTCCGTTAGTCCGGGACTCTTTTTCTTTACTAAAGGCGAGAATGGGCGTTTGTAGACTGCGCTGGAGTCTGCGTCACGTGGCCTGGTTTCTGTCGTCCTATTGGTCCAAGGCACGTGTCTGGGAGGACGGTGGAAGAACGTCACTTGAGGGGCTCGTATTGAAAATAAGAACAAAACTCCAGAGTGAGAGTATTAGAGCATCAGTTTAGGAGCCTCTTTATTTACCCTTAGTTTAGTTTAGGTGTAGGCAATACTGAGCACGCTCAAACCGGATGACACTGAACTGGACGCTGCGCAAATGGCAAATGTTTTAGCTCTGAGAAATTAGTTGTAAACCGAGATTTGAGGGAATATATGTGAACAAATTATGCTTTTCTCAAAGGACACTATCGCAAGGCTTTGCATGGTGTCCAAGGCACTCATCGGTATCTGAGGGTTTTTTTTATTTATTTTATACACGTGCAGGTTTTGGCAATCATATTTCTCTAAAGTTCGTCGTAAATTTGACTGCGGCGGAGGGAGCGATAAAAGGGTTAACGCGAGTAAAGCGGGGAAAGTGAATCAGTATGGAAGAAAATGATCACGGCAGCAGAGATGTGGTGGAGCGGCAGGAGTCGGCGGATGAATCCAACAGAGCCATCCTTCCCCTCCTACAGGCGCCGGGGAACTTGCAGATCCCTCACCGGGTCACCAATTTCTTCATCGACAACATCCTGCGGCCGGACTTCGGACGGAAAAAGGACGGGGGCGCAAACCCCGAGGAGAGTAGCCCGACGTCGCGGGAGAGCCAGGACAGCCCCGCGGCCCCGCAGAGCGAGCCGGTGGGCAGCACGGTGCCGGCGGAGGGGACCTCCACCCCGCACGCGGTCACCGGGGCCAAGAAGCCCGCCATAGCCGCCGAGGAGCCCCTCAAAGCCCGCGGGGAGAGCGGAGACCAGTGCCTAAGCTCAGACTCTGACAGTTCCCAAGCCAGCTCCAACCCATCCATGTCCCAGCCCATGCTGTGGCCGGCCTGGGTCTACTGCACCAGATACTCGGACAGGCCTTCTTCAGGTTGGTGCCACGCATTTTCTTTTTTTTTTTTTATCTCTCCCGTGCGCTCGGTAACCTGAAATACCCCGTAACACTGACCCCGGATGGCTTGACCGACTTCTGGCTGCGGAGTAGAGCGAAGCGTGCTGCGGAGCGCAGAGGGAGAATTTACCCTTTACAATTTACAAATCACTTTAAAGTTCTTATTTAAAAAAATTGATCTAAGGCAGCCACATGCCGAGTGCATGAAAAGCGTGTTTTGTATCATTTGGAAAGAAAAGTCACATGGATATTAAAATTAAAAAAAGGTGAGACCTAACGAAAGGCCTATTAAAAACAAACCGAGATTAATCCACATTTTAAATTCCAAAACCTTCTGAAATCTTCTTCTATTAAGTGCATAACAAAATATATAAATTCGAAATATTTGTGGAGCAAAATACGTGCAGATTTTCGTTTGTAAAATGCTACAACTCGGGGGTTGTTGGATATGTGCGCGGGCCCCTCGTAAACAGGAGGCTGCTGAGGATCTGCCTGTGTTTCGGAGTCTTTATGTACGCCTGCGAGTTGATATTCGGTGGGTTTGTTTTGGTTGTTTAGGTTTCGCGGGACTCGTGTTCGGGGATTATACTAATTTGTTGACGACCACCGTTTGTCGATGCTGGCCAGCGACGTGGTCTCAGGGATGATGCACAATCTTTATCTTTAAAGGACACGCGTCCCGCTTATCCCGTTTCCAGAAAAGTGGTGACTGTATTTTTCTTAGTGTCTGTCAAAAGTGGAGTACAACTTGTTCTCATGCATTATGTAACACTATATAGTGTGGCGTAGGGCGACTACTACAAGTTGTGGAGCAGCAGTTTTCCTATGGACTGCCTGAGAAAGCCGCTGATTCACGAACTTTGGAGCCGTTTTCTGTTGTTTCGCTGCTGTTTCTGCGCAGTTTTGGAGGGAGGCACCGAGCAGGCCCCTCTCCAGATGGAAAATTAATGTCTGTTCAGTGTGTGCTGCTCAGATTCTGTGCACGTTTGTCCATTGAGACACTTTTTCAAGCGGCCCACAATAAGTAAAATGCAAAGTAGCAGCACTGAAATGGATCCAATTTTTTTCCACGGACGCCAGCCACAGAGAGCGAGCTGAGCCGGCTGGGCTCCTCCAGTGTCAGGACTAAGATTGCCTTGCTGTGGACACTTGCAAAGTGTGTTCAGTGGGGTTTTGCGTGTGTATATGATGTGTGTACGCGCAAAGGCAGGACAGCAACAGGGAGGCATGGGGCTCTGTGGCTTCTTGGATGGTTTTCTAACAGGACGTGACAACATTGTTGCTCGCACACCTCTTTTTCTTTATTTTTGAAAGGAAACTGGATTACTTGGCAAGGTCAGTTATGCGTATTTTGGTTTGGTTTTTCTCATAAACTATAAAAAAAGGCTCATAAAAGTAATAAAGAGGTGTGTTTCCACATATTATTAGGGGCTTTAAGAGCTTAAGCGAATTAAATTCTCGTTAAATACAGTTTACGCACGTGTTTGAGGACAGTTTGAGGCACTGAGCTCAGTGCAAATATCATAAGATGAAGCTATTCACGTGCAGTACAAATGTGTGGGGGGAAAAAAAACTAAAAAAAAAAAAAAAAAAATGGAATCGATGGTGCTCATAAACTTATTACGATGTTTCCAAGACGATCACTAATGTAAAGCTCCAGGTCAATTTTGTATCCCATTTTGCTCATGGCCATGTTTCCATACTGACAAACCAATGCATGTGTGTCTGTGCAACCCCAACCTCCCAACCCCCCCTCCACCCCCCAACCCCTACACACTACAGGGCCGAGATCTCGCAAACCAAAGAAGAAATCGACCAGCAAAGAGGACAAGCGACCACGGACGGCCTTCACAGCAGAGCAACTGCAAAGACTAAAATCGGAGTTCCAGACAAACCGCTACCTGACGGAGCAGAGGCGACAGAACCTGGCGCAGGAGCTGGGCCTGAACGAATCCCAGATCAAGATCTGGTTTCAGAACAAGAGGGCCAAAATTAAGAAGGCCAGCGGCACTAAAAACAGTCTGGCCTTGCACCTGATGGCACAGGGACTGTACAATCACGCCACCGTCTCGTCGAAAGACGAAAAATCAGACAGCGATTGATTTCCAGAGATGTAACGGCAGCCTCCTGACGAAAAAGAACCTATAGTAATCCTACGATAGATGTTTATAGAGATATCACAGAAAAAAGAAAAACTCTACAGGAATATTTAATGTTGCCACAGCAGATAAAATACTACAAAGTACTTACTATAACTATCACTTACAATGGATGTACAATGGTTCCAGGACACCATAACAAACAATGAGGAAGCGTAAGGTCACTACCAAGAGTCCCTAGATGCATTTCTAACGACACCATAGCTCTCTGTAGGTTCCTATGGGAATATTATAGTGATTTTTCGTTACATGGGAGGCTAAATCAAGCCTACAATGCAATAATATGACCGATAAAGGGCCAGTGTATAGAGAATACCAGCATAAATTGTTTAAAAATAAGAGAGATATTTCTGCAATATCACGTCTATGAAAAAGATGTTGTATAAAGGTTATGTTTTCATTGTTTGTCGTCCCCCGCCCCTTCCAGGAGATACAAATGCCCACAACCCTCATTTTTATATACAATAGAATTACTGAAAAACACGATTGTCCTCTTCCCACATTGGACGAACTGGCACTTGACGTTTTGATCCGTCAGCAAAGTGAGGAGAAAAAAACAAAAAACAAAAAATAAAACTGAAGTCCAAAGAGTATTTTTCTGCTGCATCCAGGCTACTGTGAATTTAGATACATGCTAACACGATTTCTATTGCCATGCTTGGTTTTTCTTGCTTGTGTTTGCTGTGAAACAGACAGAGGAAGCTGTTCCGTGCCAGCTGCAGAGCTAATTGGGCAGAATTTTTCTACGCTTTGTTATAATTCACAGGATCACCTTGTTGGAGGTGACCGAGAGAGGAAATGGATTTTGTTTTTTTTTCCTAACATGCCACTCCACTACAGAAAAAACAACAACAAGAAAACAAAAACTAAACACCTTTGCTTACATGAATATGGTCGTCTCACAGCCTTTGAACAAATCGTGCGTACGCCCTTCATTATGCCAATGCATCAGTGCAGCTATTATGGTTTTAAACAGCAATAGAAATCATTTTTGTAGCTAAGTGAAGGCTATAATGCTGCCTTTTGAGTCACAGAAACAACTCTGTAGCATAAAGACAATGATGACAACCATTTTGCGCACTCTTTAGACTATAAATGCAGGTTATTGGATGTTCTTGGCAAATTTCTCTCTATATACATTTTTATTACATATCCATATATCATAAAAAGGCAAATCCGTCAGTGACTGTATTACAAATGTTGGAAATCTCTTATCGTTGTTGAAAGGACTTCATATGTGTATTTATATAGATTATATTGAGAAAAAAAAATCTATCCAATGACCAGTGTTGCTTTAGAGTAGATATCTGAGGTGTTTACACTGCTTGTTTATCTTGCAATAACTTCTTTTTGTTTTCTTTTTTTTTCGTGAATGAAAATTGTTTATGGGGCCTTTGCATGAAAGCTGCAATTTGTTGTACTTGGGCAAACAACTGTGTTTATAAACTTTGGTCTTCACTGACAAAAGTATGATCGAGCTAGGTTTCAGACTGTATCCATACCAAATTATGGACTTTTTGCCTTTCAAAGTGTTTTTGTTGTGTATCTGCAAAAAGTGTGTGTGAATTAAAATCCACCAAACAGAAACACACTTTGCCTTAAAGTTCAAGTGGGAACTTTTTATGAAACAGAACTGTGCCGAATCAGAGAAGCAGTATTACTTCAAATGCAGACTACTCAAGTTTAATGCCTTTATGAAAACTGCTGGTACGACATTATGAATTTACTCATCAGCGTATATCTATCTATATATGAACATGTTTAAATGAAATTACAACACAGAGTTGTAGAATACAATGCTATTTTTTATTTTATGTTGGAAGTATTCTTTGGTATAAATGTACATAATTTGTATCATGTATTAATTGTGTAATTAACTGCCTCTCGGAGACTGCAAAAGAAGAGTAAATAAACCTTGAAGATTATACAGAAGTTTCCAAATTCTTCCTGCAAAGCTTCATATGTTGCTCTGAAAGAGAAAAATAGGAAGCGGGGCCTGACTGAAGAAGTACACGTCATCTGTGATCAATGCTGAACTTTTGAAGGACTCTCGGTCATTTAAAACAAATTTATTATTCATTAAATATGTCCAGAAAAGATAAACACACATGGTATTCACAAATGTTGCAATACATAGAAATCAAACTGAAATCCTTTCCATGCAAACACTTTAGATTATATTCACGGAGGATCAAATTCCTGGGATTTGAGATTAAAACATTCGCAAAAGCATCCAAATGTTATGCAAGGGAAAGCCTTGAACAATTCCCAGGCATGTTTGCTCAACAATGCCTTATCTGCATTTCCATACTTGCACCACTAGTCTTTGAACGCCATGCCTAACGGCCGGTGACTAGCGTTAGAGCAGATAGGGCTGCTCCCAACACTGTCCTCGAGACGGTCAGTCTTCCTCGTCGCCTCTGAAAGGAGCCTGTGCTTCTATCACGAGGCAGAAATGGGAGTAGAGAAGAGAGAGGGGGAAGGAGGGGTCGGGGGTGGGGGGGGGGGGGGGGAGAGAGAGAGAGAGAGAGCAATGAAGGTCAAAGCCCGTCATGGCTGCAGGTGGCTGGTTCCCCCCCCTCCCGCTCCTCAGTAACCCATTCTCCACACACAGCTTTCTCACTCCAGCTCGTACACTCTCTCCCTCTCTCACTCACACACACAGATCTATCACTGCATTTTATTTTATTCTTCCTACACACACACACACACATTCCCAGACTCCATTCACTTCTGTTCCTCCTCACATGCGCACACACCCGTTGTTTTGATCCTTCATTCAGCCCATCAATAGAAACCTTCATCAAAATATTCAGAGGCAGAGGAACTGCCTGAAGTTCAGACAGGGACACCAAATTTAAAAAAAATAAAATAAAAGACAAGAAAAAGTAAGGCTGCATGGACACATTCGAGAAAAAAATTGTCTAATGTATGGAGGTGAAATTCAGGTGCAAGTGACCTCAGCTGGCCCATCTTTTAGGCTCTCAACTGTCTTATGCAAGTCTTGTATCCCTTATAGGATAAGAAATGAAAGTCATTAGCAAAGTGAGAAAAAAAAACATTCACAGAAGACAGAAACATTCGCAGAAACTTTTTTTTTTTTTTTTTAAGTTTAGAGAGAAAGTTTTTGTCTGGCTGTAAATTTTCATGCTGGAAAAATGGAAGTGAGTGCAGGACAGATCAGGAAAGTATCAATGTCCACCTCAGCACACAAAAGGGCCCCATCCTGCTATGACCTCTCCTACCATCCTCCCCCTCCCCTACTGTGTCATTTACCCACAGTTTCTAAATGCTTCCTACGGCCAGAGTGGAATCTGCTCAGAGGTGCCTGGGCTTTGTGGCGGAAACATAATTAAAGTGGTGAAAGATGTAAAAGGTGAAGAATGGGGATGACATCAGGCCAATTTCACACTTGGCACTCGAATGGCTACGTCCAAGCCAGGACTCTTGCCTCGCAACACAGATCAAAGCCCACTGTCAACGCACCAGTGCAGGAAAAAAAAAAGAGGCAAAAGGACACCTAACTATGCTAATCCCCAGGACGAATATATTTTAATCTTGTTAGAATACAAGTTAATGCCGTGGCTCAGTGGCTGAACTTTTTTTGGTAAGAATGAGAGGTGGACAGAACTACTTTTACCTTTTCTACACAAGGTGCCTCTGTCTGGCACCACCGGATAAACAGTCACTCTGAACCAACTTTCTTTTGGGTAAACTTGGTGTATTATCAAGCCGCGTACTGTACGAGCAGCAGATAGTTACAGGCCACTGAAAAGGCAGGCAGTTTTC